CTTTGAAGTTGGTAGCATACATTCTTTCTTTCTTTTTTAGTCATGTGACAGCAGCCTTTTACATACCTTTTTATGAGCCCGTTGTAAATCTGATATTGGGAAAGGACTTGACATTTACAAGTCTAACACGTGGCTTTATACAAAAGAACAGTAAAATCTGTGATCCTATGCAATAATGTAATGTATGTACAGCATAAGAGATATATGAGTGAGAGGGAGAAAGCTCATGGTCTTCCTAGCTACTCAGTTTGGTGCTTGGCTGCCTGCCTCGCTGCTTGCCTTTTTCCAGCTTTTTCTGACTTCTATGGAGTTTTTGTTAGACAGAGGCTATCCTCATATTTGAATTCAAACTCATGATATTGTTTGTACGTTTCATAGTTTGAAAGTTTGTTGTAGTTGTATTTTAAATTCTGATACAAGAATTGCCTTATCAAGAAGGAGTCCTATCTTATCTATGTAACCAGCTCTTGTAATTTGTTTATAAATACAACTCTCCCTCACACTGATGGATCATTCAGCCAAACCTGCTTTCTTGAGTAAACACAAACTTTACATGGTATCAAAAGCCACTTGTCTTACGACACAGCTTTAGTTTTTTTTTTTCTCTCCCAAATTTTTCCTTCCCATGGCTAATGCTACTGATGCCTTTGCTACCCCAACCACCACTTCACCTACCCCTTCTTTCATGAATACCCTTACTCCTGCCATGGTTGATGCTGTCTCCATTAAGTTGGATCGAACCAACTATTCTCTTTGGTTGGCACAATTTCTACCCATTCTCAGAAGCCGAGACCTTATGGGCTTTGTGGATGGCTCTGATGAATGTCCTATAAGACATCTCTCTGGTAGCACAACAGTCAACCCCGCCTATACAACATGGATTCAGCAGGACCAACTTATCTTAAGTTGGATCAACAACTCCTTTTCCCAATCAGTGCTATCCACAGTTTCACGTAATCAGACTTCTCGTTCCACTTGGCTGGCTCTCGAACGTCGGTATGCCTCGACATCACAAAACAGGATTTTGCATTTGCGCAATGAGCTGATGCGCACCATGAAAGGAGACTTATCTGTCTCGGATTATCTTGACAAGATGAATATGATTGCTGACAACCTTGCACTTGCTGGACAACAGGTTCCTGATGATGAACTTGTGCAGATTATCATGAATATTCTTGGCCCTGCATATGAAATGGTGGTGAGTGTTGCTTAGGCCCGTGATACCCCCATTAAATATTCCACACTTGAGTCTCTTCTGCTGACTACTGAAAGGAGAATGAATGATCATGTTTCTTCTCTCACTAAGTCTGCTCCTGCCGTAGCTGCCTTTGCTGCTAACCGAGGACATGGTGGTGGCCGTTCTTGGGGAACTGGACGTGGTGGTGTTCCGTCCAATCGTGGAGCTGTTCCAAATTCACGAGGTGCTACTGCTCGTGGATCCTTTACCAACCAGCGAAGCTATCAACAAGTTGGTGAAGCATCATCCTCTATGAACACATGGTTAGTGTGTCAAATCTGTGGTAAGCCGGGTTATTTGGCTTTGGACTGTTATCAAAGGATGAATCTGGCGTATGAAGGTCGAATTCCAGCAAAATGTCTTATTGCCATGGCCACCTCTCCTACTACCATGACTCAACAGAACAATGGCACATGGCTTCTTGACACAGGTGCAAATGCTCATGTTACTCCTGAGCTTCAGAATCTGGTAAACCCCAAAGAATATACTGGTAATGACAATGTTGGAGGTGTAGGTAATGATTCCGGACTATCCATTTCTCATTTTGGATCAAGCACTATTAACACTGATTCTTGTTCTTTTCACCTATATGATGTCTTACATTGTCCCTCTGCTTCCACCAATTTAATTTCTGTCCATCGTTTCACTTCAGACAAAAATTGCTACATCCTAATTTTCATGATTCCTTTTTTGTTAAGGACCTCAAGACACAGAAGACGCTTTTCCAAGGAGAAGTGAGAATGGATTGTATCCATTTCAATCTAGCGGTGGATTTTCCAATCAACATTTTCAAGCTTTTGTAGGAACTCGTGTTACAATTCAAAAATGGCACTCTCGTCTTGGCCATCCAGCTAGTCCAATAATGAAGAATCTAATTTCTAATAAAAAAGTGCCGATTACTGGCTCTTCTGACGTAGGATTTTGTTCTTCCTGTCCTTTAGGTAAAAGCAAAAAATTACCCTTTTCAAAATCAGATTCTGTTTCTTCTTCTCCATTGGAGCTTGTACACTTTGATGTTTGGAGTTCACCTATTGTTTTAGTAAATGGTTATCGATATTATTTGTTCTTTGTTGATGATTTTTCCCACTACACATGGATATTCCCTATGAAACACAAATTCAAGGTTTTTGATTTGTTTGTTAAATTTAAGAAACAAGTTGAGAATATGTTAAATGTTTTGATCAAAACTTTTCAATGTGATGAAGGAGGTGAATATACCAAACTTGAGTTTCAAAAAAATTTAGCAAATCAAGGTATCTATCAACGTTTTTCATGCCCTAAAGATCCTGAACAAAATGGATTAGCATAACGAAAACATCGCCATCTTGTTGAAACTGCCATTGTCATGCTTTCTCATGCTCATATCCCTTCCTCTTATTGGTTTGAAGCGTGTCAAACTGCTACCTATCTCATAAACAGGTTACCTACAAAAATCCTTCACAATCTGTCACCATTTGAAAAGTTGTTTCACAAACCTCCTACTTGTCATATGCTCAGGATTTTTGGGTGTAGATGTTTTCCCTGGCTTACTCCGTATACAAAACATAAATGACAACAAAAATCAAAAGCATGTGTTTTTCTAGGATGTTCTTGCAAGGGGATGTTAGACAGAGGCTATCCTCAAATTTGAATTCAAACTCATGATATTGTTTGTACGTTTCAAAGTTTGAAAGTTTGTTGTAGTTGTATTTTAAATTCCGATACAAGGATTGCCTTATTAAGAAGGAGTCCTATCTTATCTATGTAACCAGCTCTTGTAATTTGTTTATAAATACAACTCTCCATCACACTGATGGATCATTCAGCCAAACCTGTTTTCTTGAGTAAACATAAACTTTATAGTTTTGACATGTTTCTATGTAGAAGACTTGCCTGCCACATGGATTGACACTGAGCTGGCATCCCAACCAATCACAAAACTAGACTTGTATTTTTGTACAAGTCATAGTCATACCAAAGGAGAAAAATATATGTAAAAAGTCACATTTAGATCATCTAGTTTGTCGGTTTTATCAATTTGATCCCCACTTTAATTTTGTCAAGTTTATTCTTCTAGGTTCAAATATGAGCAATTTAAGGACAAGTTACAAATTCTTTCAAAATCCTTCTAATTTTGTTATGTTTTGAGCATATAATATGAAAGAAGTTGTAACGGAATAGGATGAATTTTGGCAAAATATGTAACTTGCTCTTGAATTACTACACAGATAAAATTAACAAATTGAAACTATAGGAACTGGAGTAGTAAATTCCACGAACTATATATATATATATATATATATATATATATATAAAACGTCAGATGAGAAACACACTTTGTTTTCTTTACTGGTTTTATTATTATTATTTGTTCTAGAAGTTTGTAAAGATTTCGATTCTTCTGGGGACCCCACATCCGTAATATTTATAAAAAATAATAATATTTAGAAAACGTGTAAGTTGCTCTAACAATTATTGGAGAGAAGACAAGTGTAAACATGGGAAGGAAACTTTCAATTTGGCTCTAGTGTATAATTATACATTATGAGGCTGCATGTGGCTCGACACATCATGACGATCAACTAAGCACTAGTCATTTAGTTTTAAATTAATTAATTCAGATGTAATGTCAATGAAGATGATGAAAATACTTGTCAGAAATCTTGTTTAAAATAAATGAAATTTTGTGTGAATTATGTGTTTCCTATTATTCAAATAGAAAAATAAATTAACTCAATAATAATGTCTATAATATTATCCCACGTCGGAAATAAAAATATTTTAAAAGTGTTTATTCATTGTCAATTAATTTTGAATGACATTTATATTCTGATAAGTAAAAGCTTGCACACAACCATCGATAATGTTTTGGAAACAAAATTGATGAATAACAAAATCCCACCAAAGTTGAACACGTTTGTTTCCAACTCAAAAAATTGACTTCAAAATCAAAACTGATTTCTCATTCCTATAAGTTATACATAATTTATAATAGCAACTCAAGAGAAAGATAAAAGTTGACGAAAAAAGAAAATTAAAAAAACACGAGCCACACACAAGCATGTAAAACTTGTGTTCCACAGTGCTGAGCATATGAATTGAATGTGGGTTCATACAAAATGGGAAACTTCCACGTGGCCTTCTCCAACCTCTTTCCTTTTCAATTTTCACTCCATTGGCCAGCTCCTCCCATTGTTAAAATCTTTCCATATTTGTCACACGCCTCATAACCCTCCTTTCTCTATTTAAACTCTTCCCTCCTCCCTGCTTAATTTGCTCCACCCCAAATTCCCCAAACTCCAAAACCCAAATGGCTTCTTCCCCAAATGACATCCACCAGCCTCTGCTACAATCCTATCCACCACCTCCCACCCTAACCACAAAACATGATGATCTTCCTGATCTTCATCTTCATCATGACCTCCACTCAACCAATGAGCTTGAAAGAGTGCTTTCTGACACAGACAGGCCATTTTTGGAGCGTCTCAAACCGGCTCTATGGATTGAGTCCAAGCTCCTTTTCTACCTCGCATCCCCGGCCGTCATCGTTTACATGATCAACTATGTCATGGCCATGTCCACCCAAATTTTCGCAGGCCACCTTGGTAATCTTGAGCTGGCTGCCGCCTCCCTCGGCAACAATGGCATCCAAGTTTTCGCCTATGGAGTCATGGTACATAACATTTATCAACACTGTCACATCATTGAAGAACAATAAATAAATTTGGTGACTCTAGCATTATTGTACGTATATGTTACTCATCTTTAATTGATTTCTCAACAGTTAGGCATGGGGAGCGCGGTGGAGACACTTTGTGGGCAAGCCTATGGTGCCCACAAGTATGAAATGCTAGGGATATATCTACAAAGGTCAACCATACTCTTAACTTTGACTGGTGTGCTCCTCACCATCGTTTACATCTTCTCCAGACCAGTCTTGATCCTTCTAGGTCAATCTCCAAGCATTGCATCTGCAGCTGCAATCTACGTGTACGGCTTGATCCCTCAAATCTTTGCCTATGCTATCAACTTCCCGATCCAAAAGTTTCTGCAAGCTCAAAGCATAGTGGCCCCAAGCGCCTATATCTCTGCATCAACCCTAGTTTTGCACCTTGTGCTCAGCTGGGTTGTGGTGTACAAGATGGGGCTTGGCTTGCTGGGTGCTGCATTGGTGCTCAGCCTGTCATGGTGGATCACTGTGTTGGCGCAGTTTGTGTACATTGTCAAGAGTGAGAGGTGCAAGAACACATGGAGTGGGTTTAGTTGGCAGGCCTTTAGTGGGTTGCTAGGGTTTTTCAAATTATCTGTGGCTTCTGCGGTGATGCTTTGCCTTGAAACTTGGTACTTTCAGATTCTTGTTTTGCTTGCTGGGTTGCTGCCAAACCCTGAGTTGGCTTTGGATTCTCTCTCAATCTGGTGAGCAATTTTTTTCTTTCTTCTTTCTTCTTTCTTATTTTTGTTTTTATTTTATATATTTGGATGAGATCTGGTATGCAAATTGCAATTGAAGTGCGCTTCTATTATTTTGTTTTTTTGCTAATCAATTAAAGGAGAATAGTGGGACAACCAAATGTCTGGATACCAATTAATATATTTATGTATCTATTTATGCATGTATGTACATACATACATGTGGTTTGGTTACCAAATAAATCTAGTTATTTTGACCATACCTACCAACAATATATAATTATTAGTGGGACTTTGCCTTTAATAGGAATTTGGGCAGTGTAATCATGTGGTCTGATATCAATTCACATGTGTTAGAAAGCTCATTAGAAAAAAAAAGGAAAAAAAATTCATATAGCATTACTTATTTTTTATTTGCCATATTTGGATAAGATTGGTTGCAACTGTTTGTGAACATCCATACCTATAATGAAGAATCTCATCTAACATTTCTGCAGTATGGAACACCGTTTTGTTTTCATATATGTCTTGTTTGTGGAGCGTTATTGTATGATGTGGTAGGAGGTAAGGTCTGCAGTTTGATATTGATGGGTTAGGAGGAATTGAATTGAAGAGAAGTTTGGGACGAGGAGTTGAATTCATTCATTGATTGAGCTGGGGTGGGTAGAAGAGACTTGTAGGACTTGTTATTCCTTTGCAGATGTAGATTTAGGTGGCCTTATTGTCCAAATAATTGCTAGATAGATAGAAGTTGTAGACAAATTGGTACCACAGCCACTTGGCTCTTATCCTTATGTGCTATATATTCTTTTCCAAAAATCTGTTTCGTCTGTTTCCTCTTATGTGCCTTTCGTCTGGTTTGTTCCATATATCTGGCAATGTATGGTGCAGAAAATTGCATTTTGCCAGCCAAAACTTTATTGGTCTTAATTAAAATTGTTCAAATAGTAACATCATATGAAGGCTGGCTGTGTGTACTGAGATGGCTTCATAATGTTCATGCCCTTTTTTCTCATAACCAACCACCAAATTGGCCACAATAATGATGATGATGATGATTATTATTATTATTTTATTTTCTGTTTCTTCTTGGTTGGATCAAAGTAATGATATTTCTTAGGTAGTCTGCAAAGTGTCCCAGTCTGTAGGGACATTTCATGATCTGCACAGAGACCCTTTGCCTGTCTTTCGTAAAAAAAAAGAAGAAAAAAAACTGCAATTAATTAAATACAGAAAGGCACGAGACGAGACCAGTGTGATTTTATTTTGTGCCATTGATATATATATATATATATATCAGTTTGAGTTTTTCTTTTTCTTTTCAATTCATTAACTTAAATTTGATTGCAGCACAACAATATCTGGTTGGGTCTTCATGATCTCAGTTGGGTTAAATGCAGCTGCAAGGTCAGTTTCACATACACATGAGAACATGTCACATTAATTACAAGTAATTTATTTTAACTGTTGATAATTGGCTGCAAGCAGTGTGAGAGTGAGCAATGAGCTTGGAGCTGGAAATCCCAAGTCCACAGCATTTTCTGTGGTGGTGGTGACAACAGTCTCTTTCCTCATCTCAGTTGTGGCAGCAATAATTGTTCTTATATGGCGGGATACCATAAGCTATGCCTTCACAGAGGGTGAAGCTGTGGCTGCTGCTGTATCTGATCTCTGCCCATTTCTTGCCTTCACCCTCCTCCTTAATGGCATCCAGCCAGTCTTGTCTGGTAAATATATGTTAATTGTAATTAACTGTAAATCATAGTTTTAGTTAAGTGAATTTGGCTAATTAGTGTTGTATTATTATGATCATATTAGGTGTTGCTGTTGGGTGTGGATGGCAAGCTTTTGTTGCGTATGTGAATGTGGGGTGTTATTACTTGGTTGGAGTACCATTTGGTGCGCTTCTAGGATTTTACTTCAAATATGGTGCTAAGGTATACTTGGATTCAAAACTCGATAATATTGGAGGCCGGGGCCTATTGTTATTTAACATCACTAGTCGCATTATGTGATCAACTAATAATGCTTGATTATTTTTACAGGGAATATGGTTGGGGATGATGGCTGGCACCTTGATGCAAACAATCATTCTGATATGGGTGACCTATCGGACCGATTGGAAGAAAGAGGTAAGCTACTATTTAATCTTGCATGAGTCATTGATAATATAAGGGATCTTAGGTTATTTAAGTATTATTTTTATTAATATATGAAAAATGAAAATTTCAATGGACTTGCAGGTGGAAGAAGCAGCTAAAAGGTTGAATAAGTGGGGGAAGGTGAAGGAGCCACTCCAGTAAGAAAACAGTTATGGACAGCAACTTGAGCGTTTTGTGTGTGGTGGTGGTAACTCATTTGGGCTTGACCTCTTGTGTGGTCAGATTGGAAATTAGTTTTAAAAAAACGTATTGCACAAGAGTTTTAAATTAGTTTATTGTCTTCCATGAAACAATGCAGGGCCATCAATCACTGCTCTTTCCCGTAGCTTTCCACGCATCTTTCTCGCATATTTGTATATAAAATCAACCAGTCTGCCTACCTTTTATTTACTACTAGAGAGAAACGCTGGAAGAACTGAAACACAAACCAAAGATGAATTGCTTAAGTTACTGTATGTATGCTAGTACATTTGAGAATTCTGACGCATGACAAACAGAAAATGTTAGAATTTAAAAATGGAACAATGTAGCATACGTAGGTGAGGTTAGTTGACCAGGGCAGTGAGCCGCCTCCTTGCACTCAAGTTTGAATTCCCTTTTCTGTAAATTAGATTAATTTAGACTATCGCTTGTGTAAAACAAAAAACAAAAACAATGTAAGGCTATTACTTTTGTTTTATAAGATCCATTACCATGATACTTGGTTGGGACTCTAAGAGACCACCAGAAAACATAATTAAAAGAACAAAACATGAAGATCATAAAGACGGATGGAAGAAACCTACCTGAAGAGGGCCATGCATTTGATTGGTTGGCCCTTCTAGTCTCTAATGCCTTTCCTGAGTTCGAAATTTAAACCAGCAAGTCTCATGGGTAAGTTGTCAAAAGTTGGCCCAATGGTCCCTTTACTCCCAACAGATAGAAGAATGGCACAATGACCCTTCGAACTTGGGCTTCCTAAGCCCAACCCATAAAACCCACGTCGGAGAGAGACTAGTATCGTATTGATGGTGCAACTAAAAAGTATAAATACTGAACCTCTTTTTTTTCTTTTTTTTTTCTTTTTTCTTTTCCTAATAGAGCTAAATATAATACCTTTTTCATGCAATTAGAGGAATGAGAAATTTACCAACGGGGTTTAGCCGAATGAAAAAGGGACAATCAGAGGTCTTAGGTTTAAAATCTCCATGGCATTTTAGTTATATGTGTGTGAGAGAGAGAAACTTCCCTCCCTATCTAGTTTAGATTATTGCTTGTACTCAAAAGTAGAAGTGTGAGAAATTTATAATGTGTATATTATGAATTTCAATAATATTCATTTAACTTTCTTTTCTAGTTTATTCAAAAAGAAAAAAAAATTGCAATGAGTGTTGGTTGGTTGTTTCTTTTGTGGAATGTTTTTCTCATACAATAAAAAAGAGAAGAGTAAAAGTAAATGAAATTTTTTCCTCCTGGAGATGGTCCTGTCTTTACCTTTAAAACTAATATTTGTAAAAGATAAAAACACTAAACATGCTGCTAGCCTAAAGCTAGAGAATACTCATCCACTATGAGCTGTGTAGAGTAGTCTAAGAACTCCAATGGCAAAAAGGGATGACCAGAAAAAGAAAGGGAGATTTTGGAAAAACATAAAGGAGAGAGAAATTTTGTAAAAGAAGCTAAAATGAACAAAATTGCCCTTATTTATTTTTGGATTTCCTAAGGAATCATTTACATTTGCATGTCTTTGATTTGAAAGTTAAGAGGTTTTTCTGTCTTTTTTGAAAAAGCTTTGGCTTTTTCCAAAAGTGAAATTTTTTTTGTGGCTAAAACCTAAATTTACTAAAAAGGAAACAACTAAGAATGCAATTGGACACACAGTCTTTTCCCTTCATTTTCATAATGTGGAATAGGGTAAACTGTCGAAATGCCCCATGAACTTGTACCTAATTATCAATTTACTCTCTAATCTTTTTCTTTTTTAACGAATTAAAGGCTCGAATTAAATTTTATTCTCAATTCCCTCTACCGTCTAAATCAACAACATGTCATCCAATAATTCGTTAAATTATTAAAAAATATATTTTTTGAAAAAATAAAAAAAAATGAAAAAAAAAATCCCCCCTCGGTTTCTCCCTCTCCCATTCGAGCTCCCCCCTCCCCTTTGTAATCTGTAGCTTTACAACAAAAGGGGAAAAGATGAAGTGGGTGGACCCCTCTGTTTATTAAAATATTATATATATATGTATTATTTCAACATTTAAAATGACCAATTTATCCTCATATTTAACGGCAAATTAGATTAAATGTTGAGATTTAGACGATAGGGGAGAATTGAGAATAAAATTAATTCCAGCCCTTAATTCACTGAAAAAAAGTTGGGAAGTAAATTGATAATTAGATACAAATTCAAGTGGCATTTCGGTAGTTTAGTGTGGAATAATATGCTCACTGTCTGTCCCACATCCAAATTAGTCAGGCACCACAAGCCTTCATTTCCTTTCTTCAAAAGTCTTCATTTCAAGTGCACTGATTGGTTTTTCTCAGCAAATCCACCAGAGTCCTTCAACAGTTGTGAGCTCTGCTTGTCTTTGGAGCACAAAATTTTCAGCTCTGAGGAGGGTGAAATTTACGAACTTTGTATAGTTTTTCAATTCATCCTTATGTGGGCTAAACAGTTTTTCTTTTGGCACCCTCAAAAAGGCCACTTTTAAAGTTTTCCTCTTTACCCAAACCTAGTTGAATATCCATGATTTGATGTGGTACAGTCATTTTTACTCATTATATGAAGCTAATGGAACACAGGTTTTGGTAAAGATTGGGACTTTATTGTGATAAATTGCTGTTGGGGGCTTAACCTTGTTCAAATATGCGACAGGGTGTGGCTTTGCCACTGCATACTCTCATATGGGTATTTCTCACTGGTTCTTTGTACTGCCAGAGGCCTTCTGTAGTGAACATTGGAGCAATTTTTACTTTTAACTCTGTTATTGGTAGAGTTGCAAAGACAGCCATGGAAGCAGCAGTCTCTGATGTTAATGCAGATCCAAGAATACTCAACGGGACAGAACTGAGGTTGCATATGGAGGATGCAAATTGTAGTGTATTCTTGGGATCAGTTGAAGGTACCTTAGTGATTTGTATTCTTCTTTCTGTATATGAATATCATTGTCTGTTTCTTCGGTGAAATTTGAAATTATAGCAGTTGTAGTGATGATCAACAATTTATATAAACTGATTTTAGGTGATTTACAGTACAGTTCTCTTTCCATCTCCTATTTTAAGTTCATCTCAGGTTGCTAAGGACTCTATTTTATATGCAACTTCTCATATTTGTGGTAGATTTGAAGTTCCTTGAAAATGTGGAACCACTGATTTCTCACCTCTGCTTTGAATGTTGCCTTTGATATTAAGCTTTGTTCATCTCCAATTTAAGATAGCACTGCATCTGGCTGATTTTAGATTCTTTCACCACTATTTGCCCTTCATGAGCTGTTTTTCTTGTCAACACGTCCCATTTTCTATATGGCATCACATCACATCTCCTCGTAAAGTTATTCCTTTTAGTACTTTCATATTCTGCCACCAGTATCAATCAGCATATCAGGTTTTTCTTTTCTTATCACATGATAATTTCCATGCTTCTTTTCCTTTCCTGAGAAGTTTGATATTGTACTTCTCTACTCTAATAGCACACCTATTGGGAGCAGTTTTTCAGGTACTTGACAAAAGTATAGTAGCCATAGTTGGCCCACAGTCTTCTTCAATAGCTCATATGATATCTGAAATTGCTAATGGTCTCCAAATACCTCTCATATCATATGCTGCCACTGATCCAAGCCTGTCTGCCCTCCAATTCCCCTTCTTTCTCCGAACTACACAAAGTGATGCCTACCAAATGGCTGCTATGGCTGATTTAATTGACTTTTATGGGTGGAAAGAGGTCATTGCTGTCTATGTGGATGACGATTATGGGAGGAATGGAGTATATACTTTAGGTGATGAACTTGAGAAGAAAATGTCAAGGATTTCTTATAAGTTGGCTTTGCCTGTACAATTTAATCTAAGTGACATCACTGAGTTGCTCAATAAATCCAAAGTGCTTGGCCCTCGTGTATATGTTGTTCACGTCGATCCTGACCCCAGGTTGAGAATCTTTACTGTTGCCAAACAACTTCAAATGATGACCAGCAGTTACGTGTGGCTTGCAACGGATTGGCTTTCTACTACCATAGATTCATTTTCTCCAACGAATCGAACTTCACTCACTGTCCTTGAAGGTGTAGTTACACTTCGTCAACATATCCCACAGTCCAATCGAAAGCGTGCATTTATATCTAGGTGGAAGAAAATGCAGAAAGAAGGTTTAGCAAGTTCTGAGTTAAATGCCTATGGACTTTATGCTTATGACACAGTTTGGGCAGTTTCACATTCGATTGAAAACTTTATAAATGAATACAGAAATATCTCCTTCTCTTTCATTGATAGATTACATGATATGAAACCATCTAAAATTGAGCTAGGGAAGCTTAAAGTCTTTGATGGTGGATCTCTTCTTCTCGGGAAGTTATTGAAGACAAATATGAGTGGTTTAACTGGTCAAGTTCAATTTAATGAAGACAGAAATCTTGTTAGTGGTGGTTATGATGTCATTAATATTGATCAGATGACAATTCGTACGGTTGGTTTTTGGACTAATTATTCAGGTTTTTCAGTTTCCCCCCAAAAAACTCTTAAAGGGAGAAGAAGTAGTTATTCCCAACTGGATTATAAGCTTGACAATGTTACGTGGCCAGGTGGAAATACAGAAAGGCCACGTGGTTGGGTGATTGCAGATAATGAAAAACCATTGCGAATTGGAGTGCCAAACAGAGCAAGTTTTGTTGAATTTGTTACAGAGTTGAATGATAGCCATACAGTCCAAGGTTACTGTATTGATGTGTTCACTGAAGCACGGAAGTTGGTCCCCTATGATATTCCTTACAGATTTGAACCTTTTGGGGATGGTCTTTCCAATCCCAATTATGATGAGCTTGTGAAGATGGTTGCAGAAAACGTAAGTAAACTTTGCACATTTTAGAATTGGTCAATCCAAAGAAAGCATAAATGTGACACATTTTTGGTAGGTGAGATAACCTACCAATACATGGATACTTTATGTG